AAATAGGAATGAGCTGTGTGCAAGGCAAGCACCTTAACCGCTGTTTTAGGCTTAGAACTTTCATTTGAAAGCCCCATCCTTGCTCCCCTCTGGCCTTAGCCTTCCCAGGCTCCCAGTGAGGGAGGGGAATTCTGGGGTATGGGCCATGCCTGTGGGAGCTTGCAGGGTATGTGAGCTGAGCTGCAGGAGGCTGATCAGAGGCTACTGGGTCTTCTTGCATCATGATTATGGCTGCATTGTGAACTCCCTTTATTACTTTTATTTATTTTTATCTTTTGGACCACATCTGGTGATGCTCAGGGGTTACTCCTGGCTCTGCACTCAGGAATTACTCCTGGTGCTCAGGGATCATATGGGATGCCAAGGATCGAACTCTGGTTGACCGTGGCCTGGTTCTCTCGGCCTGGCTAATTTCCTAGTTCCTCATAGATAAATGCCTTATCTGTTGTATCATTCTGGCCCCCAAACTCACTCTTTTCTTGTCCAGAAAACAACTGAAGTCTTCACATCTTGTTCAACCATGAACTCCCTCTTTCCTCTGTGTTTCTTCTTGTCTGTTGAACATGATCCCCAGGCTTGGGGTGGGGGGGGCGTGGGCACTGGATGCCAGAAGTGGGCGCCCTCACAGAGTAGAGGGAAGTGGAATGTGGGAGCTAGGGTGCATCTTCTGTTTTTTTTTGGATTGGCAGGAGAGTGACCTGGGCTCTGTGGCTGGGGCTGGGGCTACGGGCTGCTGAGTGTCCGGAGGTCAGACTCAGGGAGAGATGCTGCATGACCCACACATGCCCGCGGGCTCACATAAAGTCTGGAGCCAGCATGCTTGGCTGGTTTGCTACTGATGCAGGGACCACCTGCCACACCCAAGCCCAACCCCCCGACCCCAGGCTAGCCAGAGATTCTCCTCTTGGCTGAAGGGTCCAGAGCTGAGGTCTGGGTGCTGTAACCCAGCCTCCACCCCCAGGACATAATCAGTCACATTCTCTTGGCCTGGCTAGTTTCCTAGTTCCTCATCAGAAATGATGACTGACAATAGCCTGGCCAGCGACCCCATGACCCTGCTGGGTGCTGGGACAAATCCAGCTGCTCAGGAGAGTCAAGGGAAGATTCATTTTGGGAAGGATCACAGGAAGATCTGGAGCTTTGGCCCAAAGCTGGATGTGTTACTCACCAACTGTGTGATCTTAACTAAGTGACTCACCATCTCTGGTCCTTTTGTTTTCTTAAAACACACACACACACACACACACACACACACACACACACACACACAATTGTTTCAGCTCCTGTGCTGTGATATGTATTTTTGTATTCTCTCTTCTTATGGTGATAATCTTGAATTCTTTTTTTTTTCTTTTTGGGTCACACCCAGTGTAGCACAGGGGATACTCCTGGCTCGTGCACTCAGGAATTATTCCTGGGGGTGCTCGGGGGACCATACCGGATGCTGGGAATCGAACCTGGGTCGGCCGCGTGCAAGGCAAAGGCAAACACCCTATCTGCTGTGCTATCGCTCCAGCCCCATAATCTTGAATTCTTGTGGGATGTAATTTTCCAACTTTTCAAATAAAGCCTTTTCAAGATTAAAAAAAAAACATTATTTATTGAATCACCGTTACAAAGTTATTCATGATTGGATTTCAGTCATACAGTGTTCCAACACCCATCCCCCTGCACCAGTGTACATTTCTCAGAAGCAATGTCCCCAGTTTCCCTCCCACCACTGCCATCTCCCCCAAACAGCCTACCTCCATGGTAGGCACTTCCCCTCCCCCCTCTCATCCTTTTGGGTATCACACTTTGCAATACAAATACTGAAAGGTTATCATGTATATCCCTTTACCTACTTGAGTAAAATTAGTCAGAAGGAAAGGGACAGATAGAATGATTGCATCCTTTTGCTTGCTTATGTGCAAAATGAGGTTAAGGATATTTTTCTCATGACACTGGGCAAGGGAAGGCCCTCAGCCAGGCAGAAGGAGAATGGGGGGTGAAGGGGGGGCAGGTGTCAGTACTGCCTGTGGGGCTCTGGCTTTGCTGGGAGGACCTGACAAGCTGGGATCACATAGTGCTCCTGACTGAGAAAGCCCCTGTGGGGTGTGCTTCTGGGGTGGCCCCCAGGGGCCCAGAACCGAGCCATCACCCTGAGCGCAGGGACAGGGTGGGGTGGGGGTGTCCCCAAATCCAGAGAGTCAGTAAATGGCACTCAGAGGGAAGTCTAAGATCATGCCCCTGCAAACACCCCCGCGATGACCCCCGTGTCCTGCCTCGTTCCCCAGAGTGTTGTCACATGGCTCTGACCGCAGGGAGCCAGGCTCAGGCACTGCCCGCTGGGCACTGGAAGCCACAGAGGAGCAAGGTAAGTTCTGGACACTGGGATTCTGCAGCCACAGCCACTGGCCATCGGCTGGCTGCCACCTGATCAGCACCCCGGGGACCAGAGGTGCCATCAGGCTTCCCGGCCAGAATGGCGAGGGTTGGGTCCAGGAGATGTGAATTCGGCCACGCGCTCACCTCACCCTGAGCCCTGCAGGTCCCCAGAGCAGGCTGACCGTTGCACAGTTCCCAGGTGCCTGTCTGGGTCTTTCACAGAGCAAGCAACTCCCAGGGAACCCCTGTTTTGAGCAGCAAAGATGCCCCTGGAGGGGGTGACTAGTAGAGACTCTCCGAGGTCTGAAACGTAAGGACATCCCCTACTGGATGTGAGTAGTAAAGACATCCCCTAGCCCGAGCCAGCAGGTGTGAGCCCACAAGCCTTTGTTTCCCGCTGATGTCTGCAGACCCCGAGCCAACCTGGGTCCTGGGTGACGGCACTGGGTCTGTCCAGCGAGAGGTGGGCCCAGAGTCTCAAGTCCTTCAGGATCTGTGGGGATGAGCTGGAGGGTCACAGACCTACCCTGGCTGGAGAGTTCTTCCCCCACCAGTGCTCACGGCCGCACCTGTCTTTGCTGCACTGCCTCCTATGTGGGGTTCCCTTAGGTGAGCCACGAGGAGGGGTGGAGGCTGAGGCAGTCTGGATGTTCCTGGTCCTTCTAAATGCAGGGTTGGCGGGGAGCTCCTGTGGTGGCGGGCATTTTGCCAGCCTGGACAGCGGGCACAAGGTCCCTGAGCAACTCAAGGAGCTTGCAGGTGCATCGTGTGCTGGGGTACCCTGAGGGGTGACCTCTGAGGGAGGTTTGTCAAGTGCAGAGGGGGTGACCCCCACTTTCCTGGGGGGCTTAGAATGATGGGCTTAGAACAAGATATGGGGAGGGGCTGCTAAGGGGCATTGGAGAAGCACTCACTACAGCTGGGCGGGGTTCTCCTGCCTAACGCAGGACATCTGCACCCCATGCGGGGACATCATGGATGCTCAGACTCCATCCCACACTGGAGCGGCTCCTGGACCTGGCACTGCTGGAGAAATGCAGTGACAGATCAGGCCTGCCCTGGGGTGCAGGTGGGTCATGGCCTCAGACTCAGCTCCTGAGTCCTACAGAGGCCTGAATGTGGGGGACAGTGGAAAGCCAGGGGACCTGAGACCAGAGGACCTATTCTAGGGTCTCAGAGGTGACCATCTGAGAAAGGTTTCCAAGAGGAAGAAAGGCATCCAGGGCCTTTCTCAGGAGGTCACCTCTGAGACCCTAGGATAAGTCTTCCAGGAAGCAGAGCTCCAGAGAAAGGTTCCTTCCTCCTGGGATGCAGATGAGAGAGTGCAAGTGAGGGTCCAAATCAAATCAGGTGTTGGGGCAAGGGGGAGTGTCAGCACTTGGTCCAGCTTGGTCCTGAGCTCCCAGACCCACACCTGCCTGTGTCACGTGGTGGTGGAGGAGGCAGCATCCATCGACCTGGTTTGTGCCTTGGGGAACTCCATCACTCCAAGGTCTGAGACACACCACAGCTCCCACTGGGACAGCTTCTGGGCTCAGAGCTCAGAGGGCCGGGCAGGAAGTTACTTGTACTGGAGGGACCTGCAGGGGCCCCGGGAAGGAGCTCCAGGGAGTGCATTTCCTTGTGACACCCAGCACCCCACAAAAGGGACAGAAAGGGCAAAGCGCAATGTCTTCTCTGTAACTTTGTGCTGTAACTTGGCGGCACCAAACCCTCAATCTATAAATCTGAGTTCTGGGAGGGAGAGAGTTGTGGGAAGTTGAGGAGAGCATGTATGCGGGCCCCCAGGACCAACTCTCAGCCCAGCCACGCTGCGGCCACTCTCGTCCCAGCTTCCTGCAGGCCAGCAGGGCCCTCAAGGCATGAGGGCCTCGCTGTCCTCTGCCTGCACCCGGACTGGTGGCAGGGGCGGGGTGTGAAACACAGATTGGGTGGGAAGCCAGACGACATGTGCGTCCAAGCGCCATTCATCATGCAGATGAAATGGGGCTGCAAACCTCCCTAGTTCTGCTTCCAGATTTGGGAAGAGCAGGAGACCCTGAGGCTGTACCTGCCACCTGCCCCATGCACAGCCCTGCTCTGCAAGCAAAGGCTTGGATGGGAGTCCCACCCCACCCCTGCACCCCGGGGATGGGGGCACCTCTGTTGCTGTTATGTGTCCTTGAGCTACTATGTCAAGAATTTTGTGGAGATTAGAAAGTCTGGTTTCTGGGAGATGGTACAGCTGGCAGGGTGACTTGGGTTCGATTCCCGACACCACATGGTCCTCCGAGCATCGTGGGGTGCAGCTCTGGAGGCCCCCAGTCTCAGGGTCTCCCCAACAGCACAGGACTTGGACAGCATCACATCCTCAGGCCCGAGGGCTGACCCAATGGCGAGGGTGGCCGGGAATCACAGATGGGGTCCCAGGACCTCCTGAGCACTTCTTGGGAGGCCCAGAAATAGGCAAACAAACAAAATGACCAGAATAACTTGTTTTAAAGTTCTTGCAGATTAAAATGTCACCCAATCAGAACCCCCCGCCCCCTTTCCGGTTTGTCACAGCAATGACCAAGCCCTCCAGATTCCAAAGAGACCTGCCCCACCCCCCAGGGGCTCCAGGCTTTGGTGGGGGGGTCAGAAGAAGCACACACTGCTGGCAGGGGTCTCTGGAACCTTTATTTGGGAAGGCAGAGCAGCTGCGGTCCCTTTTACAGGCATGGGGGCGTGGAGATAACAGTGTCCCAGGGGTGCAGGGGGGAGGTGCCTCTGCAAAGGCACTGGCAGGGAAGACCCCTGCTTCTTCAAGCGTAGGGCCCCTGGGGAGGCAGGGCCACTCCAAGCTAAGCACAGTGAGCGGAGAAAGAGCAGACTGCCGCGCAACCAAGGACGCAAAGCCAGCGGCGAGAAGGCCGTGCGGACGACAGACAGAAGCCAGCCTTTCGGTCGTAGTGTTCTGTGCAATTTAAAAACCGACAAAATAAATATAACTTAAAACGTCTAACATGACACTGAAGGCAAGTGTGGGAGCGGCGGCCGAGGCCAGGAGCAAGCCTGCAGCGCGGCGCCCCGGGGCCCCCAGGAGGAGGGGTGGAAGGTGCCCACTCACAGTGGGCAGACCCCAGGGAGGAATGTGGGTGGGAGGCCGCTCTGGTGTGAGCAGGGGTGCCAGGTAATTGCCTGCAGGATCCAGCTTCCCCAGCAGCATGGGAAGAAGCATGTGTGGGAGAGAACTAGCAGATAAATACAACTCCCAGGCCCCCAAGGGACGGGTCCCCTCTAAGAAGTGCTCAGGGGCCTACAGGCCGGCCAGCTCCTGCCCCTGGAATTTCTCCCTGTAATTTTCTTCCTAGCATAAATTTGCTCCTGTGAGCCTGCCCAGTGAGCGAGGGTCACCTGGTCAGTGTGGGGTCAAGATTCTTATGTGGGGATGGACACTGAGGTCCCACCCACCTATGGTCACAGCTGGGGAGTCAAGGGGACCCAGAAAAGCTGGGATCCTCCTGGAATCACACATTGTAAGCAGGCCCCCAGCCCTGGAGCGAGTCCATCCACACAGGTCCTCACCCTTGCTTTGAGGGACCACTACCAGGTGACTTCCTTCTGACAAACCTCTTCCTCAGCTGGGTCGCACCCTCCCCGTCTCACCAATTGTCACTCAGAGTGAAAGGGGAAATGGACGCTCCCGCCCCCAGAGACCCCGGGGAGGAGAAGGGATGGGGTCACTGGGTTCCACTCTCTAAGCACATGCCCACCCCAGATGCCCCTCACGCTGGGAGGTGGAGCAGTTCGCTGGGAGGGGGGCTCCCATGACTCAGCTGCCCGGAGTGAGCCAGAAGTTTGGTCCTTAAAGCCCTGCAGCTCTGATATTCCTCTGGGGGAATTGAGCGACTTGCTTTACTCTTACACTAGTTCCCCTGAGATGCCCCCTGTGCCTCAGGTCTGAGACTCAGGTCTGCGTCCAGGTGCCAGGTCTCTCCCAAGGGTGAAGGTGCCAGAGGTCAAGCACCTTGCCATGTGACTGTGAGGTGTCCAGACAAGGAAGACAGCCCAGCTCTGGGGTGGGGGAGGCCCCCAGGAGGGAGAGGAGCGCCCTCCTCCTTCAGACTCTCCTCCTTCCCTAGATTTGCCCCAGCAGGGCTGGAATGGAGGGGCAGGAGTGGCTCTTGGGACCGAAGGGTGACCTGTGTCCCTCAGAATTTGTGGCTCTCACCGAGGAAAGCATCCTGAGCCTGCTCCCCCCCGCCTCCATGAGCTCAGAGCCGGGCCTCACCGTCCTTGGTCCCCTCCCGGCTTTTGGCCCCAAGTCAAAGCGTCCCCTCAGCTCCACGGAAGAGAGCCTGGGGCTGAGCAGGGGGACCCATTCAGGGTGTTCCAACAGCCCCACAGGATGGGAAGATGCTGAAAGGGGGACTTGGCCACCAGGTGGCGCCAGGCCCACGTGGCCGGCCCAGAGGCCTAGGCTCATCTCTTGCCACTGGGGACACCCACTCCTTCCACTGTGACCCCTGCTACAGGCAGCTAGATCTGGGGTTCAGGAGTTCTCTATTTACAAGCAGGGCTGGAGGCCCCTGCACCGCGCCCTTCCTTCCATCCGGGAAGTGACGGAGCCATCTCCTGTCCTGTAGTGCAGCGCGGGTCGTGGGGTCTGGGGCCGGCGCCAGTGGAAGCACAGGGAGAGCCGAGGAAGAGGAAGAGGCGGCAGAAAGGAGGCGCGGGGGTATGGGGGGGGAGGGGGAGGCACGGGCCGCGGCCTCAGGTGGGTGGGGCCCCTGTGCACATTTCCGTCAGGATGCTGATGAGGTTGTCCAGGCCCGACAGGTAGCCGTCCTCCCTGTTCCCCTCCTGCCAGGGGATGTCGTGCTGTAGGGTCTGGCCCTCGGGAAGGGGCGTGGTTTTCCCGAAATCGATCATCCACACCTTGGCCTGCTCCTTCTTGTCATGGATGAACAGGAGCGAGCTGCCGATGACCTGCAGGGACAAAGAAGGACCTGAGTGGGGAACACCATCGGCCCGTATTGGGGATGCAACCCAGCACCCAGGCCAGGTTGCTCATTCTGTCCTTCATTCACATCAGGGCAGCAGGCCTCTGCCAATGGGATGGGGCCTCGGGAGGAAGTCCCCAACTCCAGCTGCCACTTTCCACCATGTGAGGCAAGGCTCGGACCCTCAGCTGCACAGAGAGCTGACCCTTCCAATACCTCCTGAGTGCCCCCAAGTCTGGCTTTCTTTTTGTTCTTTGTGTCACATCCATAGTGCTCAGGGCCTATTCCCGGTTTTGCACTCAGACGTGATCCCTGGTAGTGCTCAGAGGGCTGCAGACAGCGCCAGGGAATGAACCAGGGTCAGCGGTCTGTAAGGCAAGGGCTTTATCCTCTATGCTATCCCTCCGAGCCAGCCCCAAGCCTAGCTTCTTAAATGTGGGTCACAACCCCATAGGGGGTTACATAACTGAACACGAACATGTGATGAAACTAGCAATGGTGCAAGGCCTCTGACAACTCCACACCCAAATGGGATTCAAAACCAACATGCGATGAATCCTGTATTTCTGGTCGCTGCATGTTTGAGCAAAAAGGGGTCTGCGGTGGGAAAACTTGAAGAAGTTTTCCTCTGCTTTAGAGGAAGGGGGTTCCCTCTGATGGGGGCGCATGGGAGTGCCACATACACGTAGCCCCAGAGCGGGGCGTGCCCTGAGGCCCAGACCACCCCATCTCATCACCGCCCACCCCAAACCTGGGCATACAAGTCGGGAAGCGGGGTGGGGCACAGGGGAGGTGACACTGGCCCCAGCAAGGATGTCCCCAGGGTCATTGGCACCTGCCACTCGGGGCCATGTCAGGACAAAAGCGTGGGAGGAAGTCCCTCTCCTCAACACAAACCCTGCTCTGGGTCGCCATGAGGGCCCAAAGGATGCAGCTAGAGCAGGGGTGGGGTGGGAAGAGGCATCCTTAGAGACCAGGGCCCCGGCTGAGCAGGGAAGACCCGTGGAAATGCTGAGGCCAGACAAGGGTTTACCCTTCCCGGGCAGGGAACAGCAGATGCCCCACTAACATGTCCTCTCACTAGATCTCTCTGGGGTTTTTCTGAGGGACACTATAGGAGGAGAAGAAGCTTCCCAGAAAATGATACAAAGGTGCTGGAGGAGAGGCCAGAGCCAAGAGGCTAACCTGGGGCCCAAGCGGTTAGCAGGGGCCTATGGCCAAGACAGGAGCCTTCCAGGCTTGGTTCCCGGGAGGACCCTGTCCTGTGCAGGAAAAGGAATCTGGAGGAAGGGAGGCTCGGCACCTGGGAGCCACAGCTGGCTGTGCTCAGGGCTGATAGTGCTTGGCGGACCATGCGTGCTCGGCGGATCATGCGGTGCCAGGGGTCAAACCTGGGGCTCTTTTTCGTGAAGGTGGTGCCTCAGCCCTCTAAGCTCCCTCCCTGACCCAGCACATGGCTTTTTATCCAGCTGGAAATCCAGAAGGCTCAGGAGGAGTGGGGGTCCTGGGGAGCAGGGGTCGTGTGGGGGGGTGGGAGTCCTGGGGGTTGAGTGCCCAAGGGGTGGGAGTTCTGGGGAGTGGGGTCCCAAGGGGGCAAGAGTCTGGGGAGTGGAGACTCTGGGGGTCCTGGGGAGTGTGGGTCTGGGGCTGCCCTATTTAGTGGGCATAGGGTCCCAAGTCTGGGTGTGGGGAGACCCCAAGCAAGGCAGCCTTATAATTTGCACCTGTGTGCAGTGCTGTGTGGGGTAGTGGGGTGCCCCCTCCCCTCCCCTCAGCACTGGCATGGCTGTGTGACACAGCCACTAGTGGACTCTGAGGACACTGCCACACAAAACCTGGGTAGAGGCTGCCTTGGGGGAAGCGTCCCAAGTCTGCAGAGAGGCAGGGGCACCCCCCTGCTAGCCACGAGGGACTGTCCACAAGCATCTACTGGGCCTGACCCCAGATCCGGCCTCTTCCTCAGCCTGTGGCTGCAAAGGTAGGGCAGGTGGACCCAGGTCGGCATGGCCACAGCTGCTGGGACCTGGGATGTCAGTGGGGGGCAGGAGATTCCTCCCAAGCTCAGAGGGCATCTGCCCTGAGACCACTGGGTATCGGGACAGAATTCTGACACTGCCTCTGGGGAAGGGGCTCAGCCTCCTGCTTCCTGTTGCCAGGGGGCTGCGTGCGTCCAGGGCTGGCTGCAGCTGCCGCACCCTAAAGTCACAGGGCAAGAGGGGCGCAGAGGAACGGCTCAATGGGCTGAGCACATGCTTTGATGCAGGGGGCTTGAGTTTTGGTCCTTGGCACCATGTGGTCCACCACGTGGACTGCTGGGAGTGACCCCTTGCCCCAAGTACAAAGCTGGTAACAGTGTGTGCCTCTCTCCCCACCCCCAAAATAACCCGAGTCCCAGATGGCAACAGTGCTCTGGCTTCTCAACAGGCGGGTGCTCACAGCACAGCGCCAAGGCCATACAGACCCCTGACTCCCCGCCTTGCTGGGCACAACTACCAGGCCCGACGCCCATGCTCACCTCGTGGCACTTGAAGAAGGGAGAGATCTCCAGGGTGGCACGAATGTCCTTCAGCCGGTCCCGGTAGGCGACCTGGAAGCAGGCCAAGCAGGTTTTAATCAGGTGGGCATAGGGTGAAGGTTAAGCTGCCCCTAGAGACAGCGCCAACATCCCATGGGATTAACTCACACCCTGACTATAGGACCCCAGACTCCCACCTAGAAATGAAGATGGGGAGCCTCGAGGGCTGGGCGAGGGCTCCTGGTTCCTCACTCTCTCCATCTATACTGCTGCAAAGCAGGAGGAGTGGAGACAGTCCCCAGAGACGGCAGAGTCCCCGGACTTCCTCTCCCCAACTCGGGGTTATCAGGAAGGTCAGTGGCGAGAGGTGGCATCTGAAGGGCCCAGATGGGGCTGGAGCGATAGTACAGTGGGTGGGGCGTTTGCCTTGCATGCAGCTGACCCGGGTTCGATTTCCAGTATCCCATATGGTCCCCTGAGCACTGTCAGGAGTAATTCCTGAGTGCAAAGCCAGGAGTAACCCCTGTGCAATGTCAGGTGTGACCCAAAAAGAAAAGAAAAATGAATGAAAGGCCCAGATGCCAGGACAAACTCCTGAAAACAAACCTCAGGGTCCAGGAGATGACTTAAAGACCTGGGCACCGGCTTCACATGAGGGACGCCTGGGTTTGATCCCGGCACCATATGGTCCCTGAGAAGTTCTGGGAGTGACCCCCAAGCACCACCAAGTGTGGTCCACAAATGAAACAGAACGAACCAAACAATGTTACGCCCCCGACATCTGAAAGGACAGAGTGAGGGGAGAGACCCTGGCTCTGCGGGCGTCTGCGTCACAGGGCCCTTGGCATCACATTGGGCTGTGCCAGGGCTGGGGTGGCGGGCGGGCTGGCTGGAGCCAGAAACCCCCCTGGTCCAGGTGGTCCAGGGGCTCTGAGATGTGCTGCAGACCCGGGCCAGGAAGCCCAGGCAGTAGGGGGAGAGAGGGTGCTTGAGGCGCAGACCCAAGGCCATGCCTGAGTGTGCGAGGCAGGCCAGCCTCCTGCAGGGCTCGGGAGCTCTGGGGCTCAGAACCTGGGGCTATCATAGGGCCTCCGGGCTCAATAAACCTGAAGTTGGCTGGAGGGTGCTGATGTGGGGGCGGGATGGCACATCTCTGCATCCTGTCTGCTCCTAAGGGCCCAAACCCCACACAGGTAAGAACTGAAGCCCCCACTCCTTGGCTCAGAGAGCTGCCAGTCAGGGGGACAATGTGATCCCCACTGCCCCAAGGGCTATCTTCCTCATTCAGCCTCCTAGCCTGCTGGAGGCCCCGCAGGCAGGAGCCCTTGTCAACCTGCTGAGCCCTTGTCAACCTGCTACCTACATGTAAATCCCAGCTCCGCCCCTCTGCTACTCTCCCCTGCGTCCTCTCCTACCCTCCCCGTGCCCTCTCCTACCCTCCCCTGCACCCTCTCCTGCCCTCCTCTGTGTTCTCTCCCATTGTCCCTGTGCCCTCTCCTACTCCTCCTCTACTTCCTCCCTGTCCCGCCCCTGTGTCCACTCCTACCCCATCCCTGTGTCCTCTTCTACCCTCCCCTGTACCCTCTCCTATTTGCCCTTGCACCCTCTCTGTGACCCCCATCTGTCCAAGACACCAAGTAGCCTCCACTCCCCAGAGGGGGCAAGCGCTCAGCACAGGGGCTGGTGGGAGAAAGCCAAGGTCACTCTCCTCTGGGGGTGCAAACTCTTTGGGAGTTGATCCTGGGCTCCCTGGCCTCCCTCTCCTGCTGTCAACCACAGTCCACCGCTCCAGCATCAGTCCACAGTTCTGAGCTTGGCCCAGCTTCACGAGAGACTCACCAGGATGTTGCGGTTCCCTTGCGTGAACTCTCGGAAGGCCTCAGTGACCTGCTCCCTCGTTTTGGTTTTCTTGAAGTCGCGGTTCACAGAACCATCTTCTTTCTGAGGCAAAAGATACCCCCGCATGCAGGAGGTCAGCTGAGGGCCCACATGGTTCTGCCTGACAGGCACGGGGATGGGGCACCAAGAACGGGGCGGGACTCAGTGAAACCCCGTGGGTTCGTGTTAGGAGAGACTAGGGTGAGGAGCTGTCAGGGCCAAGATCAGGGCACGAAGCTATGGAATGGGAACATTGGGGGGCATGGGTACCCCTACCAGCAAGAGCCTCGAGGTTCCTGCTGTCCAGGGGCGTGGGAGAGGCCCTCCCTGTGTCCAGTCCAGCTTGACTTGTACTGCCCATGTGGCTGCCCCCTGCTGCCCCAGGCTGTGCCCAGCGCCAGCAGCTCCTCAGGGCCTGCGCTTGGGCAGTGGGAGGCTGAGTCTCTTGGATCTGCTCCCCACAGGCCAGGACTGAGAGGCGGGGGCCACCAGAGGTGCCCAGGCCCGATGTGCCCTGCCATCAGATTGGAAACTAGTGAGAATATAGTGGACCCCACCCAAAGGGGTCAGAGGGAGCACCTGAACGGCAGGAATGCTGGCTTTGCTGTCAGGGAGCCAGGGCCATTGCATGCCTCCCAGCACCACCTCGAGTTACCCCCAGAGCAGTGAGCTGAGAGCAGCCCTGACACACAGTCAGGTGTGCCCAAATACCAAAAGGAAAGAAAGGAAAGAAAAGGAAGGGGTACCCTGGCAGAGGGAGCTGCCCAAGGGGCAGAGAAGAGAGAGGGGCTGCAGGAGGTTCTCGGTGGGGGCACTTCCGGGACCAACGACTGGTGCTGAGAGCCTAGGGATCCCCAAGCTCGTGGCTCTGAGCCCCAGAAGACAGGCTGTGGACAGGAACCCCAACATGCAGCCTTCGTGGATTATTTCAGACACAGGGATGGTGAGCAGGGGGCCTGGGGACTAGGACCCCCACCCAGCTAAGCAGAGGAGTGGTGAGGAGTGGCAGACAGGGGCTGAGGACGGGAGGTCAACAGCCCTGTCTTCCCAATCGTGGGGTTGGGGGCATCTTATCTCCACGGCTACTTTCTGTGCCACGAGCTATTGCCAACTACCTGCCCATCACCTCAGTGCTGTGTGCAAGGGGTGGAGCTGCCTCAGGCCTGCTGGAGTACCAGGGCACATTTCAGGCAGTGCAGTATGGGGCAGGGGCACCACAGGATTCCCGGCTGCTGTGAGGGGGCCATATATCTGGTTTGACCACAGGGCAGAGGATGGGAGAGCAAGCCTTGGGCTGGAGGGACACGGAGGACCAAGGAAAAGAATGTGGAAGCCTATTTTGATTCTTGGCACCCTACAAGGTCCCCCCAGTACTCCCAAGAGTGCTCCCTGAGCACCGCGCCAGGAGTAAGCCTTGAGAATCGCCCCCTAACCAACCAACCAGACAGAACGTGGGACTTAGAAGTTGGGCGCAGTGTTGGGGTGCAGGGCATTGGAGCTGTTCAGGGATGTGCTGCCCAGTTCTACCTCCGTGGCTGTGATCCAATGTTGAGGGCTAAGTTCCGTCCCTCTGGGTCCCCAGCACTGGACCCACTCCTGGGTGGCTGGGGCACCTTGGGATGAAGACCCGAGCCCTGACTTCCAAGCCCCTATGGATGTTCTTCCACCCCCTCCATGCTCCTGACGTGGCAGCCGCCTGCCCCAGACAGAGGGGTCAGCCAATGTCCTCCAACATCTGTCCTGGGCAGGCTACCCACACCCAGGGCTGTGTGAAGGGGCCTGAGAGAAGGTAGGACAGGAGGGGGACACTGGGGACAGCAGCTGGTGGAGCCACCTGCAGCCCGCCTGGCTGGACTCACCTTGATGCCTTCGATCCGGAAGCCCAGGGTGGCGGTGGAGCTGATGGTCTCTCTCCACTGCATGTACCGCGGCTTGGTCACGGCCCGCTGTGCCTTCTCCTCCTCGGTTGGGGCATCGGGGTCTACCTCGACCATCTTCTGGTACATGTCCTTCCGGAGGCTGGGCTTCTTGCGGGCCTTGGTGAGCTCCTCCTCCAGGTACGTCCTGTGGAGATGGGAGGCCCTGTGAGGCAACGGTCAGCCAGGCCCAGGTACGTGTCTAGCCTCTGTGGGCCTGGTTCATTTTTTTTTTTCTTTTTTCTTTTTGGGTCACACCCGGCGATGCACAGGAATTACTCCTGGCTGCACTCAGGAATTACCCCTGGCGGTGCTCAGGGGACCATATGGGATGCTGGGAATCGAAACTGAGTCAGCCGCGTGCAAGGCAAATGCCCTACCTGCTGTGCTATCACTCCAGCCCTGGGGAGCTGATTCTTGATGGGAGAGACCCGGAGTGACCTTGCTTGGGGCACAGCTTCCTCTCAAGAGTACCAAGAGACCTTAGGGGGTCTAAGGAGCCCCTCCTTCTAGCAAGGTCCTGGGGCCAGCTGGGTGTGGGTGGACCCATCCTATGGGGGTGCAGGGTTCACTCAGGGCTGCCAGGGACCCTTCCCCAAAGGGTTTCCAAAGTCAGGACCCGTGTGGTTGGAGGCTCAATCCTTCTTCCCTGCCTCCCTCCAGTTCTCAGGCATTGGAGGGGGGGTGGGGGGGGGAGGCTGGGCCGGCCTGAGTTCTCTGCAGAGAGAAGAAACCAGGAAATGGAAGTGGAGCCTACAAGAGGTGCCAGTGCTGGTGAGCGGGGAGCAGCCAGGATGGGGCAGGGATGGGGCTCTGGGCTCTCTGGCCTCCTCCACAGACCCGCTGCCCCATGCTGCCACCAACCCCAGGCCTCGGGCGAGCCCTGATGAGTTCAGCAAATGTGGCCCAAGGGACAGTGTCAGGCAACGCTGCCATCTGCATGTTCCATCTGCCATCTGTGGGCGGAACTGCTGCAGCCCCCAGCAAGTGGTGGAGGTGGCCGCGGAGGGAGAGAACAGGGCTGGGGCAGCACCAGGCAGAGTCCTGCATGGCCCCCTCCCCCCACACAATGCCCACCTGAGGGTGGGCATCCCTGCAGCACACACCCCGCGCCTCAACACCCCTCCTTGCAATGCTGGCTGCTGCCCAAGAGCAGGCAGGACACAGATGTCCTGCTGCGGGAGAGGAAGTGTCCCCTGGCCCTGTGTGGGTGGCCCGCACGTCCTCTGCTGGGGCCTGGCTCCACCGCATCCCACCATCCGTCCCCAAGCTGCAGACTGAATGGCAAACCCAGGACAGTTAAGAAAGACGGGTTTTCAGAAACCAACACGGTGCAAAATCAGCCCCTACACGTGAGCTTGGACACAGCTGGAGGAGATGCTGAGAGAAGCAATACTAGAGGGAGGAAGCCGTGGCCCTGCAAGGACACGTCCTTGCAAGGACACACATGTGCATGCGCATCTGCCCAGCTGTGTGGCAGAGCCAGGTCATGAGGATAGGGCCAGGGCTGAGCTGCAGGGCAGGATGCTGCTGCGCGCGGGTGCCGTGTATGTGCACCAGGGTGTGAGGCATGTACATGGGTCTGTGTGTACCTGCATCCTTGTGTGAGCCATGTACACATCTGTGTGCAACAGTGTGCATCCGTGTGCAGGCCCTGGTGTGTGTCCTGGGTGTGTGTGCTGGGGGAAGCTCCTGAGTGCCCCACCGTGGGTGAGCGTCTGAACTGCAGAGAGCAATCCGAGCTCCTCCAGCGGGAAGCGGGCTTGGGTATTGAGGCCCCCTCACGCAGGCTTCTCCAGAAGGTCCCTCAGCTCACTCTCGGCACAGCTGCTGGCCCCCAGTGGGGAGAGGGCTGGGCGGGGTGCCCGGAGTCACCGGCTGGATCAGTGGGGCCACAGCCCATGGAGCCACGCTGTGCCTGTCCACAGGAGTCCACCATCCACACGGGGAGCAGGGCCTGCTGGGTGCCTGAAACCCAGGGAAAGTGGTGGCCCAGTCCAGACATGAGAAGTGACTTCTGTCCCCGTGGGCAGGTCACTCAGCCCAGGTCTCAGCTTCAAGTGTAAGACAAGCCCATGTGACTGGACGCAGGGCGCTGGCATCTCAGGGAGTCCCATTTAGATGCTCTGGGTGCCTGCATCAACCCTTCTCAGGCTCCACCCACTTTGTGTCCCTTATCCACCTTCCACTCCTGGGAAAGTGTCCACGTCGATGGTGGCCCTGGGCTCTGGCCTCCTCCCTCCAGCAGGCAGGAGCCCCTCAGCGGGGTCTGCAGAGGTAAGGCTGGTGTGGGACTGGCTCAGAGAGGTTCACAGACTCACGCTGGGATAGGGTTCAGGGGTCACCCCAGGTCTCTGCTGGGGTGCAGTGGGACAGAGGTGTGATGCAAGGGAACAGGCTGATGGAATGTTCAGGTGGAGTCACAGGGAGTGCTGAACACTGCAGCTTTTAAAGGAACAGAAGCCCACCAGGCCGCCCAGCCTGACTCTCCAGATGCCCAGACCAGCTTCCCGCACAGCCACACTGTGCGGGTCTCAGCGTATGACACCCACCACAAGAGCAGCAACCAGTTTGAGCCTGCCCAGTGCGGGTGAGTCAGTGCCAGGCAGAGGTGGGGGGGGGGGAAGGAAGGAAGGGTCACGCCTTCCAAGAGGGCACATCCTGGCACACTCCAGGGAGAGCCCTTGGGGACACTAAAAAGATGCTGGCAAGAGTGTGGCCAAGGGGTGAACTGAGAGACATTCTGTCTCCTCACTATGGGCAGGGCTGAGGACAGTGCAAAGGCCAGCAACTCTGTCCAGCCTGAGAATGGTGGTCAGCTGCCCTACTGGGCAGCCCTAAAGGAAAGACAAGGAGGAAAGGAAACTGGCATGGGTCACTTTCTCTCCTGCCCCACTCACCCTTTATACATACATATGTGTACATAGATACACATAAGCTTACACACACAGTTATGCGATACATGCAAACTGCACAAACACACATGCACAAATACATACACACCCATACACATACACACTCATACAAACACACAGACACACGCATATATGGACACACTAGTATACAATGCACACACAAGTCACAATGCACACACAAATCCAAACACACAAATCATATACAGACACACATGCACACATAACCCCCCGCCCCCCCACCCCACATACATACACACACGTACACACATCCAGAGCTGTTTCCTGGGTCTGACCTCCCTGGAAAGCTGTGAGGAGCTGGTGTCCAGGGGTCCTTTTGAGGGGCACAGTCCCTGATACCAGGGGGTGAGAGCCTCACTGGACAGCCCTGCCGCTGCCCTGCAGATACAGAGCTATGTGGTGCCTTCTGGGCTTGACTGGCCAAATTTGAGGGGGTAGAAAAAACTGGCAGTCTGGAGGGGGCTCTGAGCAGCTGGCTCTTGGTCCCCACTCCATCTGTTCTCCATCCCTCCTGCCTCTCTTCCTGTCTCCATTCCCAAGGTCTCTCCCCCTTATTTCTGTGGGCAGAAAGCAGGTGAGCTTGAACCCCATTCCATGCAGTCCCAAGCACTGCTCTCTACCTCCGGCCGGGCTTGGGGCCCCCAGAGCACCCTGCACCCTGCAGGACACCTTCATGGCTGTGCCCAGCTGGGCTGGTGCTCAGGGTCCCTGCAGCTCCCAGTCTTGCTCATGCGTGGCTGTCTTTCCACACACCAGCATGGTGGGGATCTGGCTCACCTGTCAGGAGGCCCCTCCCATCCTCCCTCAGCAGCCCACTGGAGCCCCGGCAGTTCTTGGTCCTTCCTCTGGGGAGGCAGCACATCAGAGAAGGGAAGGGGCTGCCCAAAGGCACAGCCAAGAGCTGCTCCTTCTGCACCACAGTGAGATGATGAGGAGGGGGCGGGCCCCCAGGCATTCCTGTACACCCTTGGGACAGCTGAGAATTCCAGGCCAGGCATGGCGTAAGGCTGTGCACCCAGAGCCCGCCTCACCTGACACCCATCTTGCAGTCCATCACACATGGCGAGTCGAAGTCGGCCAGCAGATCATCCATCTGGTTGTAGCGCTCGCCGTCCTTGACCACATCCCCATGGTAGGCGGGCACATAGGGCCGCAACACATCAGCCATGAGCCGATCTAGGCAGCGCTGCTCTGACTCACAGTGCTTCTTCAGGATCCTGCCGTTGGCGGCCGCCTTGAAACTCCCTGCAGGCAGAGCAAGAGCACAGAGGCCCTGGGTTCCTCTGTGGCCAGCAGAGGAAGCTCCACCCACCCCCACAGCCCTGACCTGCACTTGGGGCACTTGGGGATAGGAGGTCAGAGGGTGCCTACCCCCCCTCTTGCAGACTGAGCACTTTAGGGGAAATGGATGCTGGTCCCCAAGTTCCCTGGACCGCAGGCCCCTTGATGAGGAGGGGGCCAGGAGCACAGAGACTCAGTCAGCTCTCCTGGGCCCCCATGGCCACCCACTCTCAATGCCCATGCTGATTCTTGGGCTGGTGCTCTCCTGATCTCAGCAAAGGACCAGCTCCGAAGGAACAGGCCAGGGGACTGAGAACTGGGGGTCCACAGCACGATCCCCCCGGGCAGGGGGCTGCCCTTGGTGATGGCATTCAAGGAAGGGTGTAGGGATGGGAAAGGACATGGCATGTCCTGGGCTGGCCTGAGGGCAGGTCATGGCTCCCTCCCACCCCAAAGCCCAGACATGCTTAGGGGCACGTGGGCTTGATGGTTCGAGGGCTCCTGCTCTGAAAGGGCCCTCCTCTGTCACAGCTCATGCCTGGTCCCCACACCATGGTCTGCCTGCATGTGCTTTGCAGCACCTTCGAAACTTTTTATGTCCACAAGTTGGGCAGGGGGCAGGGGGACGAGACAGACGGTAACAGAGGGGCACTGGTGACAGCACAATTGCCTCTCGGGTCTCAAGTGAGAACCCATGCAGTGCAATCTGCAACCTCCCACCCCCTTGTGAGCCCCGAGCCCGCTTTCCTGTGGGGGCAGCGGCTACCTGCATGTCCCGCCAGCTGGACCCAGGGGTACTTCTTCTTGAAGGACATGACGAAGGGAGACCAGTGCACCATGTTCTTTATTTTCCTCCATGATTTGCTCTAGAGACAAGAGAAGAAAAAGGAGCTCGTTAGAAAGAACCATTCCATTCCGGGTCCAAGGGCTGCCAGCCAGGCAATGCCAGACCAGACCGGAGGTGCCAAGGACCTGTCTAACGTCTGTGTCACAGGCGCCGGGGTGGGGGGGGCTCTTCCTGACTCTACTAAGGGGGCATGCACAACACCCAGAAACTGGGATAGGTGCTTTGGACCCAGGCCTGAGCCCATCCTCTGCTGCTCCTCCCATAGTGACCCCTCTCGGTCTCAGTTTCTCCATCTGTCCAGAGAGGGAACAATAGCTGGTACATCAAGCAACCTGGATAGATGGTTGTTTCCCAGGGTTCTAGGAAATGACCTCCCAACACACAGACCACAGCAGGAACGAACAGTTCCCTCAGAGAAAGACCAGAGGCCGTATCTCCCCATAGATACGGCCAAGACAATGAGCAAGGGGAAGTAGCAAGGGGACATGTATCATGATTGGAATCAAATCTGAGGGGACGAGGGGCAGGGTGGGGACGGGGGTCTAGAGCTGCCAGAACCTGGTGTGGGTACAGGAGCTGGAAGCAGATGAGGCGCCCTGAGCAGGGTCAGGCCAGGACACAGCACTAGGAGTGTGGTACGGGGAAGTGGGTGACCTCCTCATGGACTGACCAGTGGGGCCCTACTGTCCCATATGTAAAACGGAGCAAACATAGCTGCCTGGTGTCCCGAATGTGAAGCCATCATTGGGCACGGGGGTGTTTGTGGAAGAGTCTCAGCGATCTGTGTGTGAGGTTGGGGGGGGGGGGTGTTCCCCAGCAGCCGTACCTCTGGGGCGGTGCAGGTGCACCAGTACTGGGACAGACAGTAAGTGAGACCAGCCCGGGGGGGGGGGTGTGCAGGGGCACTGCACGGGGACCTCGAGTTCCAGAGCTGCAGACAAGGAGCAGGTGCTCTGGGTGGATGACCCCCTACGAACCCCCATGTACAATATCCCCAACCCCAGCTCCCCCCTTGCTGCACTCTCATTTCTCTGGTGTGTGGAGAAGCCTTTCTTCATCATGAAAAGGGAAAAAAGCTGGCCTGTTCAGTGGAAAGTGGTGGAACATTCTGCGTGTGTGGGCTCACCCCTGGACATCTCTGCTTGCGCTGGCACCAACTCTTGGGGGCTCCCCACCCCACTCCAGCCCCAAGGGTGCCTGCTGTTGCTGCCCCCTGTGAAATAGAGCCATGCCTGGAGGCGGGGTCCAGCGCAGAAAGGTCACTGTAGGCACCCATCGTAGCACAGCTGCCCACAGTGAAGGGTAGCGATGCCCTAGAAGGCCAGAGCATGGCAAGCAAACCTCGTGGGCACAGGCAGCAGTCTCCCCCAAGTCCCCTTCCTCCAAGAGGCAGAATCCCTCCAGGGGACTGTGCCCCCAAACTCTCCATAACCTGTCACTGGTCTGAAATCTGACCCTAGTCCCAGGTAGGGCAAAAGCAGCTTGGAGAATCCCCCGGCCAAGGCTTACATAAGAGCATCGTGCTTCCAGCACGGTCACTCATATTCTCTGGTCCTGTTCCTTCATCACCCCCAGGAACCAGGGGCATCTGCTCACCTCACCCCCAAAAGCAACATCTGCCCAACAGGTCCTGGCTGACTGCTCTGAGTTGTGGACTATTCATAGTCAAATCGGAGGTGCTGATGAGCTGACTAAGGCAGGTTCTACTTTGATGCATCACTGACTCACACTCGGACCTGGGGACCAGCCGACGCAAAGGGGACATACACTGGGTATCACCCAAAGTCTGTAGATTTGGGGACTAGCCAATCTTTTTTTTCCTTTTACTGAATCACCATGAGATAGTTACAAAGCCTTCATTTTTGAGTTTCAGTCATAAAATGATGGAATACCCATCCCTCCGCCAGTGTACATTCTCCACCACCAATGTCACCAGTATACCCCCCACTTCTTTCTAACCCTCCCCCTACCTCCATGCAGATCATTTCCCCCAGACTCACTCTCTCTACTTTTGAGCATTATGGTTTGCAAGACAGATACTGAGAGGTTATCACATTTGGGACCAGCCAATCTAATGGGGACACTGGGTGTTCACCCTAAATCTGTGGATCTGGGGACCAGCCAATCTAATGGGGACACTGGGTGTTTACACTAAATCTGTGGGTCTGGAGACCAGCCAATCTAATCGGAACACTGGGTGTTCACCCTAAGTTTGTGGATCTGGGGACCAGCCAATCTAATGGGGACACTGGGAGTTCACCCCAAATCTGACAAGCCAACAAGCACTAACTGATCATCTAAGGCTGCCATGTACAACAGGCACCAACCTGGGCTGCGTGGCCTCATTTCTGACCACCAGAACTTAACCTGCTCCCTTAAGTCACCCCATTCCCCCTGCAGTAGGTGGCACAAAGAGGCACCACTGCCCGGCCAAGTGCCCAACGGCGGAGGCTCCTTCGGGCCCCAAGAAGGCAGAACAGGTGCCTTGTTAGACCAAGTGGGATGGGAGGCAGGGGTCTCCAGGAGTCGAGGCTATATGTGTGGGGTGTCAAATAGAGGAGCCCAGAGCCCCTGCAGTCAGGCAGCAAATCCTCAGGCCCACCATCTTCCTGGGCTGGGCAGGAGCCCTGCATCTGGCTGAGGGATCCACTAATGTAGGCACCCCAAGTCTGATAAGACCACCTCACGCTTCCAGGCTGTGGTTGGGCTTCTGTGCTCGGGACTTTTTTGGGAGCAATGGAAGGGAAGGAGGGGCCACAGTGGACACCCATCACCTGCCAGGCAAGCAGGGGCCCCAGAGACGGGGACAGGGGTGGGGGACCCCTAAGCCTTCTTAAGCAGAGGCGAACTCCTTCAGATCTGTGTTTATATACAGGCTTGAGGGAGAGTCAGCGATACAGAGCCCAGGTGATTACAGGCTGGGGTTCAGTAAACACCAGTGCTTGGGTGAGGGGGTCCTGGAGCAATGCAGGACCCCAAGAAACAAAGCAATTTAGAAGGGAAAGGTCAGAAACAATCTGGATGGGGGCGCAGGGCTTAGCGTGGCTCTTAGTGGGGAGACATTGATGGGGGGCGGGAAAGGCCTGACCACAAAATCCAACCCTTTCCCACACAGCTGGGAGGAGTTTCAGAATCTGGTGAATGGGGCGAGTCCTCCACTGTACCCCCTAACCTGCCTTGCTCTTTTCGCCAATTCTTCCGCTCCCCTCGCAGCAGCACATCATCTCCCAGAAGCTGCCCTCATGTGGGGTCCACCCCACTCTCAGCCCAGGGAACATGGGGTCTAGCTCAGGCTCAGGGCAGTGGTGCCAGCTGCACCCGCCAGCCCAGGAGGAGGCCTGGGCAGGTCTAGTGTTTATCTAGACCAGATTCCAAGGCTCTTGTGATGCTAATGACTCCTGGGCAAATGCCACCCCTGGGTGGTTCTCCCTTTTCAGGCACCCCTGCTGCAGAGAGACTGCCTTCAGAATAAAGGTTAACTGGGAGGAACTTCAGAGCCAGGCCTTTGTCTGCAGGGATGGGTGGGGAGGAAGGAGGAGTGAAAGGGAGGAGGGGGAGGAGGGAAGAGAAGGGGGAGGAGAGGAGGAAGGAGTCTTCTTTTATTGGGTGGGGGGGCGCACTTGCCCTCCGGAACCCCAGGTGACCGAAAACCAGACTAGTTCTCATGCCCAGGAAGTGGCTCTGACTCCTTGGGCCAAAAGCTGTTTGGTGGTGGTGGGTGACCCTGGGCCCTGGGTGTAGGGGTTCTGTTCTGCCTGCCTGAAATAACAGGGTGCTCCGTTGCTCCTTAGTTCTGGGGAGTAGGGAGGGCATGAGACCATGGGTGCCCTCTGATTCAAGTGACCCCATTCCCCTTCCGCTCACTCAGGGTCTCGTGGGGCCAGCTCTGCATGGGGAGGCTTCCTTCTGGGGGACCCTGGCGGCTGGTGTGCTCAGGGGTACACCTAGGGGGAGCTGTGCCGAGGCCTCAGTGCCCTTCGGGCAGGGCGGGGGGCTGCCTCCTCTCCTTCCCAGCTCCTTCTCCTCTATTCCAACAGTCTCTCAGTGCATTTGGGATGGGGTGGGGGGTGACACGGGGCAAATGCTGTTCTGCCCCAAGCTGCCTCACGGGGCACGATGTTCAGGTCACAGGACCCCCACTCCTGTGAAACAGCGTTTCCTAGGTTCAATGACTGTACTTGCTCTCAGGCCCAAAAGGGTTTGGGGGTGTTTCATGGCTCCCTCAGACCTTCAAAGGGCTAGGTCTCTGCCATGGGGTGGGGGTTTTCATGAGAAAACAGAGGCACAGGATACATAGCACCCCAGGCAGCTCCTGGCCCCTATCCCAGGACACTGCATTCTGCCTCAGCTGCCCCTCCTGGTGCCTGGACACTGCCCCCAGCTTTTAGGAGGGTGAGTATAGCCTCCCAAGAGCCTCCCAGGCACTCAGTGAGCCCTGTGGGGGTATCCAAGAGACCACCAGGTTCAGCCGGGCCTGGGAGGGGCGATGTGGGCAGGTGCAGGCAGGGCTCTGTTCTGTCCCTCTTCTGTCACCTTAGGGATGCCTGCGCCCTCGGGCAGGACCCAAGACAAGGCCACTGAGCATCTTCCCTCGGCTGACGTGGTCGGAGCTGGATGCCTGCATCCTGCCCCCTGCAGGAACAGTAGGCCAGACCTGTCCCCTTCTCAGCAGGCTGTGGGGCAGAGGGAACCCCTTCCAGGCTGAGGTGCTGGAGTGCCCCCCCAGCTGCCAGCCTCGGGGGGGGGGGGTTGCATCTGTACAATAGGTACAAGGTGGCCCACCCCAGGGCGGCCAGGAGCTGGGAGCAGGTGCTCTGGGTATGGCCTGCTGACGCCAATAAAAACTGAAATAATTTTCTCCTTCAAGGCATGAAGGACTGGCAAGGATCCAGCTGGGCGCTTCGGAGGGTCACATCATTGCCAGGTGGCAGTGAGATGTGCCCCACTGTGACGAATGGATCCTGGAGCTTCCCCTGGCTCCTCGGGGCAGTGCGGAGCGCCCAAGGAGGCTCCCCGGGC